CGCAATTAAGGCACTCGCATTTTCCATTTTCTTTTTTTTTTTTTTTCTAATATAATTGCGACCCTGGCGCAATTAAGGCACTCGCATTTTCCATTTTCTTTTTTTTTTTTTTTCTAATATAATTGCGACCCTGGCGCAATTAAGGCACTCGCATTTTCCATTTTCTTTTTTTTTTTTTTTCTAATATAATTGCGACCCTGGCGCAATTAAGGCACTCGCATTTTCCATTTTCTTTTTTTTTTTTTTTCTAATATAATTGCGACCCTGGCGCAATTAAGGCACTCGCATTTTCCATTTTCTTTTTTTTTTTTTTTCTAATATAATTGCGACCCTGGCGCAATTAAGGCACTCGCATTTTCCATTTTCTTTTTTTTTTTTTTTCTAATATAATTGCGACCCTGGCGCAATTAAGGCACTCGCATTTTCCATTTTCTTTTTTTTTTTTTTTCTAATATAATTGCGACCCTGGCGCAATTAAGGCACTCGCATTTTCCATTTTCTTTTTTTTTTTTTTTCTAATATAATTGCGACCCTGGCGCAATTAAGGCACTCGCATTTTCCATTTTCTTTTTTTTTTTTTTTTTTTTTTTTTTTTTTCTCGAACTGATTCAGAAAAATGGCCCCGAAGCCGAGAAGAAATGAAACTACATTATGCATAGCGCACCATTTTGCTTGCTGCATTCTCGGGATGATAATGGCATCGTTTGAAGTGTTCGCGTAATTAATGAAGCTAAAAACTTTTGACCCTTAATTACGCTGTCCATTGTATTTCGAGAGTTCTTTCTTTCTCCGGGCTGCTGTGAGAATACGAATAAAGAATACGGGCCATATCGCAATCAACGAATGTCTCCAGAAATAAATTATATACGCCCGATCATTGTTTTCCACGCCTCTTACATATGTCGCGTTGCGTGAAATATTTAACCAACAAATTCGAGAATCGATTCGATGAAACGTTGCTTTATCGTATCTCGTCAATCCGATACCGAAGGATCGCTAAGAAAATGGCGAAAAATTCCTTAAAATCCCGTCGTGTCTCTATCAATCACTCGTCTATCGTCCATCGATCGAGAGCGCGTTATTTAAAGACCACTCGGATAGACAGCGGTCCATAAAACTTTAGCCTTCCATGTTATTTCTATAAATACAGTTTTCGACGTGCCATTGTTTAAAGCATCGAGTATTTATGTGGAACGGGTTACGGTCGGACGTAAGTTCTACCTCGCATTGTACGAAAGCGCGCACTCGATGCGCAATATACAATGAAATAATTAACGTTGGTCGACAACTCTTGCGTATTTTTAGCGCTCATCGATATCCCCCGATTGTTGGCATAAATAACGTACTCGTAAATAATAATTAAAGGTTGGAGAGAGAAATGAGCGCGAAGAAACCAACGATCGATCGGTAAGGGACCGTTCCAGTTGGATTCCTCGAGGAGCCTCGCCGGATAAGAGGAGGCCTGTATCTTTCGGTACGTAGCCGGACAGGAATTTTTACAACTAAATTTAGAGGATAATCAGGATGACGGTGGTTATCTCCATTACTCGAAGCGATCGTGTTAATAGGGTAGAAAGAAGGAACTCGGAGTAGGAAAGTCGACGAGAATCTCTTCGCTATTCCCTCCTTGAAAATTATACCTTTGCGCTTTAAACGCTTACGAACAGGGAGCTAACCGTGAGCTCGTACCTGCCACGGACATTGGCTAATCTTTCGTGCGACCTGAAACCGAGGATCATCCTTTGTTTCGAGTACGAGGTTCGAGTACGGGAAATACCTGACCGTGGAATATCTGGCAGTTTTTCCCGGATCTCGGTCACGGTATTCCCCGGACGCGCAAAGGCCGATACGATCCCGACGAATATCCACGAAGCAACCAGCCTCGGACTCGGGAGTCGATCGAACGAGCGAGCGAGCGATAGATATTTTAGGAATCCTGGCGAATTTAAAACGGCCCTGATTCCAGCGTTTAACGACGCCAAACGATCTACCCTATCCAGCGAGTCTGATCGGGGCCCCGCGAGAGTGGGTGGGCCTGACACTTGCGGTCCCAGAACGAAATCGACGGTCGAGCTTCGAATGGCGGGACAGAGCGGGGGCTGCGGCGTAAGAGTCGGGGCCCTGAGGGCCCCTCACTCGGGCTCCGGGCCCGGTATAGGAGCGGAGAGGGGCTCGAGGGGGCAAAGGCACATTCCAAGGCAGAACGGCTGCCAGTGAAGGTGGAAGGCACGAACAGTCTCTCACGATATTGCGCTCCGTTCCTATCCTCGTTGCTTCCTTTCTTCCAGAGAACTCGTCGCTCGTTTTCACCCGTCCCCGTGGGACCGTCGTGTGCCGTGCTGAGCCGTGCCGTGCCGTGCCGTGCCGTGCCTTGCCGTTCTGTGCTCTGTGCTCTGTGCTGTGCCGTTGCGATGCTATACGAGACGCGACGCGACGCGAGCCTACTCTCGCAATCGAATTAACGAGAATTCGCTGTCGACGCCGCGGCGAGCAGCGACGTGCATGTGATAGAGGTTTCGTGTTCCGCGACGCACGGTGCACCGGGTGCGCGTATACGGTCGTCTTTTTTGGCGCCACGCGCGTGGTCCAACGTTTCGAAAATGCGCACGCCTGCTTACGTACCACGGTATTCCAGTGGGAAGACCAAGGAACAGAGAGTTCGCGTCGAAAATAGACTTTTGCCTCGTGTTCAGATCCGTGCTCCGATCGTCGGGCATGCGGAAGGAGCGTCACCGGGAGACAGTGATTGAGAGGATCCGGCAGACGGGAGCACTTGAATATTCGATCGCGCAGGTGAGCCGCCACTATCTTTTCCTCTTAATACGGATACACGATGGATGCCCGATTCGCCGTGCACCCTGGACGTTTGCGTGCGAACCGAACCACTCTCCACCGTTCGGACGAAGAAAATCCCCGAGCCTGTCGAAATCATCGCCAATTCCCCGTATCTCGCCGATCCTTCGTTCGACCAACGAATAGGTTAGATTCTGCGACGTTCCGAATGTCGGTATCGCAGAATTTCGTGACGGAGTCGAAGCTGTTGACACAAGCGTTTCATTTATTTGTGACGGTGAAACCGGTATTCGTAGCAAAAGGAGCAAGGCGGATAGCTTATCTGAATGTTAGAGATTAACGGCTACTAACCTTCGGATAAAGGCTATCGTAGATTCCAGCGTAGATCTTCGATCCTCCTCCCGTGTCGAAATCGTTTTTCCGTTTCGTTTCACCCGACTCGAGCAACGTAAACCTCCGAAAACGAGCAATTTTCTGCCGCTCCGTCGCCGATCAAACGAGGACCGTAACCTCGTTGGTTACAGCGGGTTTGCGATCGCGTATAAACACCCCGAGAATATTTTTGCCCTTTTTCTCTTTTGATTTTTTATCCTTCGCGAGTGCAAGCATTCGGCGAGCACCGTTCCGCGGAGTGACCACAGCGGAGGAGAAGAGGGATCGTTGGTTTTCCGTTTGAACGAAATTAAATCCACGTGCCGCGAAGTATTCTCATTCTTCCTGCGATCGAGAGATCGTCGAACGACAGAAAAACTTAACCGCGTCCGAGCAACGCCATCGGCATCGAACTTGACCATGGCCTTCAGAGCCTTTGCGCTCGTATAACGAGATACGAGGAATGTAAGTGGCCGAGAGTCCACCGGTTGTACTTACGAGAACTACTTCGGACTGGTTGCCTGTAACTAGATGCTCGATACCAAATGTGCTTCAAGGCAGCTACCGATGTGATCGATTTTGCAGGTGAAATGCAAGAGGGCCATTAGGCTGAGCAGATTTTCCTTTAAAGTCGCCATAAATCGTCCTGGCCGGCGTCACCGGTAATGGTTAATAAGAGGATCGATAATGCGACATTTCGCGGCGGATTTTAACGCTTTTCGATATACGATGCGAGATGGTCCACATCTTCGACTTCGATACGAGCGTTTCGTACGCGTATACGCGTAGCCACGAACGCGAGCGTATACGCGACTCGTGCGAGGAGTTACAATACGGTGCAGTTACGGTACTTCGAGCTGACACCGTGTTAAATGTATCTATCGTAATGATCGCGACGGTGATGCTCCTAGTTGATCGATGGAACCTGTATGCCACGCGACATGCAACTCTTCTTTCCGGTGCAAGCAGCGTACGCGATGCCGTTAATCGACTTCCCGCGAAAGATGGACCGATGCTTTCCGACGGCGGTTATTATCGGTATTCTTCTCGGGGTATCTTATTTCTTAACAAGGTAAATATGGAGCAAATTATAGGGCGGAATTCTTTCGAACAAGTACAATGGCGAACGGTGAAAGCCACACTTCGCAACTCCAGAAGAATCGTCTAATATTCGCCGAGATATTTATACAAGTTGCTCGAAAGCTATTCGAGAAGTTTTAACGACGGAAGGCGCTAATAGGCTGCGAAAGTTTTCCGCGTTTCCGCGTCCGGAACGGATGCGATATCCGCAGTTAGCATCGTCCCATTACTCGGGACCCGCGTTGCGTCGTAATTGGGAGATTCGTTAGTTCCTTAACCGATTGCCCATCTGCCCGTATAGATGACGGACGAATCGCGAGCCTCGCGAATTCGTGGCAATCGCGGATATTTTGCAGGGATCGTTGCTTTCATTTTTCGCGCACGCACGCAGCTTACGCTGACTCCCGCTGTTTTGTAATCCGAAACGATTTATCAGGTTCAATGAGGCGGCGGTACGGAAACGAATCGGCTCTCGACGAGATGCGAGAAACGCGCTACGACTGACCCGCGAACCGTTCGTGATCGATCGCGATCGCGAAAATGGACGTGTTCACCGGCGTATCTCTGTCCCTCGCGCGCGCGCTCGCTCGCGCTCTGTTGCTCGCTGTCGGGTTCTTAGATGCCCCGATAGAGGATTAATCGATGGAAGGCTGTTATACCGTGTGGTTGGCCGTGGCTCGAATTTTCAAGGATAATTAATCGTTGGTTTGTTTGCATCGATTCACGCAATCTCTGTGGTATTTTCAGGTATTACAATGTCCCAGCCGCAATTAACCACCGACCTGGACGTTCCGGAAAGTCCGCAACACTCTTGCCAATGCTCCGCAATGAGTAGCATGGATTCCATGAGAACGCAGAGGGACAGAGCGGAGAGGAGCGTGGGAAGTACAAGAATTTCCAACAACCAAGAACTCCCTAGGGGTTTAGAGGCACTTCAGAGTGCTTTCGAACCAATAAGAAGACTGGAAAGTCCACTATCTCATCAGGAAAGCCAACAGATCAATTTGGAGAATACCAGGAATGTGGATATCTTGGAACATCAAGCGGGCTTATCGCCGAATACGAGATCGATGGAAGGTCAAAGCGGGATTTTGTCCAGACACGGTCATAATCTTTCGTGCAGTCCGAGGAACTTGGATCTTTCGCGAAACTTGGCGTTCGAGGCTGCACGAAGAGTTCAGGAATCCGGCAACTTGCAGGATAACCAACACAGCCTAACCTCCAGCCCTAGTCCTTTGTTGGAGTCTAGTTCAGCCTTGCTCGAGACGTCCACGAAAGATCTGGACAAGCAGCTCGACGATCATGCCGGGTTATCGCAGAAGCCAGCCGCTTCGAGCAAAGATAAGCTGAAGAATATTCAGCAGGTCCTGAATCCTTATCAACACCATCACGAGCCGACGTCAGCGGAACGCAACGTCCACGGACATTTCCACGGCGATACTCATGCCCACGTTCACAAGCATGCCGACAATTTCCGAAGCACCACGAATTTGGACGTCGGAGATGGACTGATGGGATTTCAGCAACATCAACGACAACACACTCATCATCACCACGGAAACACCAAGACCACGAACGTGACCCATCATCACGGGCCGACGACCGTGCATCATCCGCACGGCCCGCAAGGAATGGCGGGACATCATCACGGAAATCTGGCGCCTAGTTTGACTAGCCATGTTCACGGAAACTCTGGCCCCCTGAGTAGTTCCGGTTCGAATCACGGAAATCAGAGCGCGACGGGAAATCCGAGTGGTCATCACCATCCGAATCCGATACCAACCTCTACCGCCATGGGACACAGAAATTCACCGACCAGCCATCATCGTCTCGGTGGTAACACTGGCCTCGGCAGTCATTACCCTTCGAACTCTGGTTTCTCCAGCGATCATCACGGCACTTCCAGCGCGATGAGCGGAGCTTCGTCTAATTCGAGCATGTTAAATCATGGCGGCTCGCCGGCGGTTCATCGACACGTGGTTAACGCGAATAGCAGCCTTTCGACTACGCCGCTGGCTAGCCATCATCATGGCAGTTCTTCGGGAAGTTTAACCGGACATTCTAGCGTGAATCATCATCATGTCAGCTCTGGCATATCCTGCGAGTCTTCTTCGTCCAACGCGAACACGAGAACGCACAGTCGTTTGGATCACGTCCACGATCATCATCACCATTTGCAACAAGTGCATTCGTTGCACACCAGCCATCCCGATTCCCGGCAAAGAGACAGAGCACCGTCCAGTCTAGAGCATCATGGACATCATCACGGTCACATGCACAGTCACGGTCATCAACATCCGCAGAGCAGCGATACCAAAAATACGTCACTCATCGGCGTGGATTCGATACAGGTAACTCTTATCCCTTTGCTTTTCTCTTTTATTCAAATTTCCCGCGAGTCGGGAAATTTTCTATTCGAATCCCAAAGAAAACTTCGTTTCGACAGTTTCGAACGTTTGATTAATTCAACGTATTTCGCAACAATTTCGCCCGAAATCTAAACACGTCTGCAGACGACAACGATCGTTAATCATTAGCGCATTTACCCACTGACGCAAATTAGTTACTCGCATGACTTCTGTATTACCGTTCATTACGCAATTTACCAACGCGATTACGGCAACGGTGCTTTAAACGTAATTTAATTATACGTACACCGCGTTGTACGAGCTTATCCGCATTGCCCTCTTCGAGCTTCCCCTTCCAGGAAATTTCTTTCGACGTGAAACTTTTAATATTCAGGTGTCGGCTCCTTCGAAAAGCAAATGTCAATGTCACGTGGTGCAAACCGGAGGAAACAAGAGAGGGCAAGAGGGCGAGAGCGACGGAGGTGTCGAAGTGACATCGAGAACGCATCAACCCCCTGCGCTTCCTCCGCGACCGCCCCCTAGACCAACTAGAAGATACGAAACAACGTCTGTCAATCAATGTAAGTGTTTGCTGCGTTTCGCGTCACATCGCGAACCATTTTCGCCTCTTTTTCAGAAATTTCGCGATAATTACCCAGCGTGGCCGATAACGGACGCGAAGTCTGATACTCGAAACAGAACGCGATATCTGTCGCAATACCGAATATCGATATCTCGTACGCGATGGCTTGCCAATTTGAATGGCGGATGCGCGATATCGCTTCTATTCGAAGCACTCTTCCCATCCCCGTTTGATTTCCGCTTAAAGCGAGCATGTCGAGCAGTCGGACAGTGTTTCCTGAAACTCGGACGAAATTAGACGTACAGACGGGAGATAGCCAGTAGCTCCATCCTTAGTCGTTTCACCTGACGGTCATCGGAATGTCTGCAGTATCAGCAGGATGAGGAGCTAGAACGCGTATCGCTGTTGTCCCCTTTATCAATAGTGGACATGCGTTATCGACACTGAGCCGCATCGTTGACCGATTCTACTTGCTTCGAGGAACAACCCCCGTGGAATTTCAACCCTCGACCGCGTCGAGTCGCTCGAATCGTCACGGTATATCGACCAGTCGATGCTCGCAGCGAGCGAGAGCAGAAGCATCGTGTCGAAGAATGCTGCGAATCGAACAACAGGCTACGATACTTTTACGTTCTCTGCCATTAATCTCGGCTGGCTGGTGAATGGCCGTGCAAGGAATGCCATCTTGGATGTCCCTTCAAAGGAATCCTGGGCTTCAGTTTCGGCCCGAAATCACCACCACCACCACCACCTGTGGGACACCTCAGCGTGCGGGCCAGCAGAGATCTCGTGGAGTGCCTCTCGAGTTGTTGTGCTCTCGCATTCGTCTGAAAAGGATCTAATCGAACGTGCAAGAACGCCGAGGAAGAAATAGCTGGAAGAAACGTGGCATCGAAGTGACACTTCTTCGGTACACCGACAAACAAGATTCCTCGTAAACGTGATCACGCTGAACGACGACCCTATCGGGCAACGGTATAAAAATAATCGACATTGCTGATGATCCTACGCGTACGTACACCGATTAACGAGACGGTGCACGGCGAACAATTGACCTTGACAAGATTTACCCCCGTGAGAACACGTGATGCGCAAACGTAGTTCGTAAACGATCGAGGAAGACGTGGAAGAAAAGTGCGTGTCGTAATTTTCCATCCGTTTTGTCCGTTTTTCCAACGCAATTTCGCTAATCGATCTCTCGACGCGACGAGGAAACGAGTGCGCGACTGGAATATCGCGAAAGTTTCGCCACGTCGATTTCTCGCTGAAGAGAGATACCGTTGGTGACTGACACGTGTTAGCCGATAAGAACAAAAGAGTGATCGGGACATCGAAGGTGGTGAACTTTGTCTTGGCAGTGCGACTCGTAGCCAAGAAGATGGATGGATATCCAGTACTCCAGATAGTGCGATGTCGACTTGGAATGGAAATGGAGATGGATAACCAGGGTTATCCGTTCACAATGGCGGCACACTCGCATTCCCATTTGCCGCATCCGGCAAACCACGCGCACTTCCCGAGATCGCATTACCCTCACCCTTGCGGTATGCCGATTAACCCTTCTTGTTAATTTATCAATCGGTCCTGCAACCCCAGTCTGTCTCTACCGCTCAACTGCATACTCGTATAATCTCCAATTAGCTATTCCATTAAGCCGCCTTTCGCGCAATAAAGTTACCGAAATAATCCCCTAGAATATTCGCGTCCGCCTGTCATAGGGGACGAAACGTTCTTTTAACTTAAACTTTCCACGCGTCAGTTCGAAAACTCAAAGTCCAAAGTCTTTTCGAGTACTTGCTCTTCGTAAAATCTCTACAGTGCACGTCGTATAACGGGAAATGTATCGCGTAGTACCCACGGTCTATTTTTATTTGCAAACAGATACATTGCATAGCCATAGAAGGTCACGTGGACAACAAAAGGTTGTCGTATAAATAGATATCGACTGGCTTCTTAATAAAACAGGTTTAACGTTGCTTGCTGGACAGGTAACTCGGTAAAGATTTTAAAGAATCGAAACTTGGTTAGTTTTTCAAACTCGTAACAGCGTCGAGAATTCGGCTAGTATGGGAGATCGAAGAGATGGATTTAAGCAGAGAGAGAGAGAGAGAGAGAGAGAGAGAGAGAGAGAGAGAGAGAGTAGAAGATCGAAGCTATTTAATCCACGGGGAACCCGCGGTTATCTAAAGGGCTGGTTTTTCAAGGAAAATCAGGGAACCTGCCGTTTCCTTTTACCCTTGAAATACATTGTGTTTGCACGCTGGCATTTGAATCCCAGTCTCGCTTCGCTGGCTTCGAAAGCTTCGTTTCACCAAATCGTAACTATACAAGTGCAGGTAGCGAAGGTACACTATGACAATTCGATCCTAAATCTTGGTTGCATTCACGAGATGTAGCAGGTATCCCGAGGAATCCGGTAAAATGGCTTTTCGTGCTTTCAATAGAGACTACGACAAGCTAGAAGCAAGGTTGCGTACATTGAAATCGGGAAAAACGATTTTCAAGTCATTGGGAACGAAATTCCGGTTGGCCTACCTCCCTCTCTTTTCGTTTTTCTTTTCTCTTTTCTCTTTTCCATTTTCGGGGGAGGGGAAATGTATCGTTGAAGGGAACTAGTCGTGGAAAAAGCACGGTCTTCTATTTCTCTCCGCTTTGGGATGTATTCGCCGAGGTTCGACAATAGTCGGATTTGTCAAAACAGAAGAACGACGTTGACCATTTTATCGCGACGAAAGGTTGGTTCTCAGGAACGTAATATCCGAATTGCGCACGGCTGTGCGAATAACAGCCTCTGGTTGTTCCTATTCCGAGAGAATTTTTTCAATTTCGCCCCAGCCGCGCAATCTTCATAGATTTTACTCGTTGGCAGAAAAATAATTAGATTTTTAATTACACAAGATGATCTCTCCACTTGTCCTCCAGGCCCGTGCTATAGAAAGGCACAGTACCCTCCTTTATTAATGGGAAACCTGATTAAAAAGTTCAGCTCTGTCGATTCTCTCTCCGGAGAGAGAGAATCTGCCATTGTCTTTGAAGCGACGTAGCGTCGACGCTTCCATCGCTCAACATTCATCGAAGGAATTTCCAATACAGCGTAGTCGGCTCAATTGCGAGCTTTGACAACAAAAGTTGAGCCTGGATGATCGAGAATGGAATAGCTCGGCTACGTAACAGAAAAAGTCGCACTCGTGCGATGCTTGCACGGCTAGCAGGCAATTTCGTACGCTGCCGTATTTTAATACGATACTTTGCCGTCTGCGCTATGGGTTCGCTGGTTAATCGCGAACATTGTACGCGATTCGAGCGAGCCGAAGGGAATACGCGTGTGCCTTGCTAATCGTCATCGAACCACCGATCATTTTTCTCCGCTGTCCCTTTCTTCTTTCGCTTGGAAAGCAAATCTAGTTAGCAGAGAAGAAAGGGAATCGAGTCGATCTAGGGGGTAATCACTGACTAACAAGATTCGAGGAATTTCGCTCACGGCACGTTTCCCATTGTGGTTAGATCAAAGCTCCCGTTGTTGGGTTCTCACGCAAGGACAATCATTATCCCGTGAAAGAAGGAACCAGCACGATGGGAATAAGTCTTGCAGGACCTTTTTCTGAAAAGGGTCGATAGTCGTACAAAAGATTCCGTTTGGCCGTCGAAAAATATCCTTCGAGCTATTTCGCGTTTCATACGGAGATCCTTTGAAGCGATGGCGGCGGAGAGATTATCGGGACGCGAAATATTACGTCCGGCTGGAAGACGCTAATTTTTCACAGACGAAAATATTCGAGACGTTCCATTGAGGATTTTTCAAGCATACCCCAACTGTCCCCTAACTCCCGAACTCTGCTTTCCCTTTTTAATTCTCCGCCTATCGCTCGCATGCTATCAGTGACCGATTTTAATTTTACAGGCCACACGGGGGAAGGTGGTTGCTGCAAGAAGTACGTTGTCCTTTGTTGCCTTTGTGGTGGGTTGAGCGCTGCGGTTGGTAGTCTCTTTTTGGCGGTACACGCGGTCCTTTCAGCCCACACGGCCAGCTTAGCTCTCTTTGAGACTGTACCATCTTACATTCCTGGCATAATGGTAAGAGGCAAAGATCGGAGTCTATCAACCGATCTCCCTTTAACGAGACCGCGTACGAGAACAATGCAAACGCGAGATATTTAGACCACTGCGGATAATCACGCGTATTCGATATTGATTTCCAGTTAATCCTAATGGGTCTCTTCACGATGCTACTTGCCAGACGGAAGCACAGATACGGACTTTTGGTAAGCAACTTTCCGAGCAAAATATTACCCCCGATCTCCCTTCTATCGATAACTTTTCAACTTTTCGCGCAGATGAAAGTGTGCGGATCAGTCGGTGTGGTGTGCGCGTTGGTGTGCGTCCTCGTCACCGTCACCACCACGGTCATACACATGTCCCGGCTGCAAGGTCTTCGGAAATGCGTCTACACCGCGAAAGCGAGGTATGTACTTGGAGCTGATCGCCTATTTTTACACCAAGCCACCATTCGATCGATACTTCCGATTCGATAATTATCGTATCAGGTCGTGCACGTGCTACGGCGCGCCGGAAGGAGACCCTGGAGTTCTTTTCGAAGGCACTCCCCACTGCGAGGCAGTCCACGGTGCCTTACACGCCTGTCTGAGGGCCCTGTTCGGGGTTTCGGTCGCTGGAATCTTGGCTTGCATATTCTCGTGCATGCTGGTGTACCAGTTGCTAAGTCACGAGAAGAAGAAGATGTACTGGGAGCAGTTGGAGCTGAGATGCAGATCTCTGTACGGGCAAGGAGGCACCGTGGGACCGGCGACTGGTTCCTGCGGATGTTGCAACGACTGCGGCGGCGCTAGTCCATGGTGGGCGCAGACACCCGGAAATCTTTACACGCCGAATCCTGACTTGGCGCCATCGAGGTTCGTATGTCCGAATGATCCGGCCGCAAATTTACAACAGACCGACCTCGAGAACGCCAATGTCTGCTCAAAGGGATCCGAAGGGATCGCGCTGGGCAACGAAACTGCGTTGCATCCGAAAAATGTCGGGCATAAGTTAAGCATAACAATGGCAGACATGGTCGGCACTGTTATCGCGACGTTGCGAATTACGATACCGGGATGCTGTGCCCCGCGATGGACTTCATTGAGAAATTATCGATGCGATTCGAATGCACCGTGTGCACTTACCCTCGAGCGTAACGATACATATTCAATGGATTTCATTCACGAATGTCACGAATATCGGGAACGGGGTGCAATAAACTCGTAAACAAGGCAACGATCCCCGAAGGCCTCGGGATACATTGTATTCCGGTAATCCGCTAATGTATGGCATTAATTAAGCCGGAATTCCATTCCGCTTCTGGCATTTGGAGGAGAGGTTTCTTCGTCTTGGAAATAAATTATAATGGACGACGCGCTGTTGGAAGATCGCTTTCGCTGAAATGAGTGGGAAAAAAGACGGATCGCGTCCGCCAATTAATCTAAGAGCCATCGCGATATATTATGCGAAAAATTCAGTTTCATCGGGAAAGAAACGGCAGCGCGGAAAGGACGAGCTTGCCGCGTTTAAAATTCGTTTCTTGCGCGATGAGAGAGTAGATACGGGATTAAACGTCGCAGCGAATTCAAGGGAACCGTTCTTTTTACCTTGCAGACGATGGCGACTACCCTGGTCCAGATCCAGAGGACCAGCTCCGAGCCCAGACTCGAATTATGGCTTTCATACTCAGGCCAGACAGACCGAGGCTAACGTAGAAAACACAAATGGCCCCTACAGTGTCCTTAATTCTCAATCGAGCGGTCCCTATTCCGTTTTAAACGCACAGAACGGTCCGTACACCCCTAGCACGGCTTCTTACAGTGTTCTAGAGACTCCGGTGCCGTTATGGGGTCCTCCGCCGCCTTATAGCGACCCGAACAGCCCTGCTAGGCGACCGCAAGTAGCCGAACAAAGGCCCAGAATTGCCAAACGAATAGAGAACTTCGAGAACAATGAAGGTGAGAAACGAAACGCGTATTAAGGGTGGAAGCGCATGAAAGAACGCTCTCGAAACCGCGAAATACCGTCTTTACAGATCACAGATCGAGGTCTGCGAAACGTCCCTCCGATAACTACGAAAATGCCGAAGAAATATCGAACAGCACAGACCCAGAGGGAGGGAACGAGGGCACCATGAAAGGCAGACGAACTAGGAAGCCTTTAAAGGGTGTAGAGAACGGAGCGTTCCAGCAGGAAGCGAATCCTGGGCCGAAACAGTCGGAAAGTGAACTGTACTTTGGTGACGTGTCCTCGTGTTGCGGGCCCGAGAGTAGTTTCTACGATTTGGCCGTTGAGAAAGAAGGTATATAACGACAGCGCGAAGATGGAACGATTGGAAAGAAAATAAGATGGGTCGCCATCGATCGGCACTGATTATTCACCTCAATTTTCATAGGTGCGGAACATTCAGAGGGCGTAGATTACCTAGCAGCTCGCCTAGGTAAACGGCAACTGTCAAAGAGATCCAGGATGCCTCTGCCATTGCCATCGGACAATGGTGACATACCATCCGACAATTACGCGAACAGTGACGAACCCAGAAGCGCCAGGGGACCGTTCCTGGCGCCTGACGCGCAGTACGAAGTCATTCAACAAGGTCGATACTCTTACTACACGTCCAAGGACGACGAACAGCTTCAAGAAGGTCCTGCGACCTCGGGATACTTCAGAGAGGAGGAGACTGAACGGGGAAGGGAGAGGGATTACAGGGATTACAGGAGTAGCCAGGAAGAGGAAACGCCTCAATGTTGCTTGAGCGATTCAACGACGCTGGACTCGGGTTGGCAAAGTGGTGAACAGCAACAGTCGGATGACAATGTCAGACCGGTTAACGTGTGATCGCGCTTATTCTTAGATAATTAACGGGATAGCTGTCGAGGAATAGTAGTATTAAGTCAGACTAGGGGGAGAGCCAAGACGAGAAAATGGTCGCTGAGAATTGTGCCCGCTGGTAGCCTCGTGTTTTGCATTACCTTCGAGAACCTTGATCCAGGTGCAGCAACGGTCCACGAACTGTCACGAACTAGATAGCAAACTGTCCATGTAGAATACAAAGATGGTGATAAGAGTGCAAATCTAAGATTACCGTATTCGTCATAGAATCTAAGTGATGTGATTTGTGGTACAGTAGCTTAAGGTATAAACCGTAACCGTTTAGAGCATAAGCGAATAGAGATGTACGTGTTGGATCGTGTTCTTTTTTTTTTCTTTTTTTTTCTTTCGTCACGATTGACGTATTACTACAAGTCTGAAAGGGATTACGACGAGCAGACTCTGACGACGACAGAGTACACGTGAGAAATCCTACGTAACGATGTATTTTTATTAATTAAACGATGTCGCCCATGTTGTTCGTAATATTAATCGCTAATCTATGTCGGAGAACTTGGTGAATCGGGAGTGAGAGAGAGGGAGAGAAAGAGAGAAAGCGTGAGAAAGAGAGAGAGAGAGAGAGAGAGAGAAAGATTAGTCTCATAGGTAATATGCCAAAGAAAAGGTCTCTAGAGAGAAGACGAGGACGTTAATGGAAAGGAAAAAGATTTTCCAGGGTAGTTTCGTTGCTGGATCCCTCGATGGAGACTTTTACTTTGGCGACTCGTTAGAAACGTCCATGTACAAACGTGTGCTTTACTCTTGCCAATATCTCGCTAGACGTCAGCTCGATTTCGCACTTAGGCGTTAATTATCGCGAAATTGTTCACCGTTCAACGATAAGTTCCAATTTGAGCACGTTCAAGCTTACTATAAATTCTCGGTCACTGCCATTCCAACGCTCGTTCCTTTCTCACAACCGTATAGGGATGTGACAAAACGTTTTCGCACGTCTACGGACAGAAAATCTGAATTTTACCAACTCGCATTCGGAATTTGACCATTGGTTCGTGGAGAAGATTCGTTACGCGTCGTACGAGGCAAACGAGCGAGTAATCGTGCTCGTGATCTGTGTTAGCTTTGTCGAGCTTTTTACGTAGTAGGGTCGCATCCGCTTTCAAACATACAATTCAGGTGGACCAAGATCGATATATATATATATATAAATATATACAGAAAGAGAGAGATTGTTTTACTGAATTAGTATTACAGATTAGAATATCGCCGATCGTCTATCGCCGTTATAGATCGTTCGTTAGATGACACACGGAACAGATGCATATTTTATAACCAAGATTCACGAATGAAAGAGACAAGGCCAGCTTAGGGGGGGGTAGTTTAACGTTGTTTACTCGATAAAGTGTACCTTAACAGCGATACGTAGCAAGTCCGATACATTGTCGAACGATGTAACTAACAATGATTAAGAATAAAGCTTTGTTTTGTAAAGAAACCGCGCGTGGCTCGATGAATTGTAGTAATTCTCTCGGGTGTAATAAACTGAAAGAGCAAAAAGAAGCTGAGTGAAAAATGCAAAAATCCAGACCAAACGTCCAAAATGTCCTTTCCCGCGCGTTCCTCGCGCGTCGATCCGATCGGAGAAACGGATATAAACGTGACACTAATTGTCTCCAGGTCAACGATTTTATCACGGCCGATATGTCACTGAAACACACCCAGGTAAGCATTTAACGAGGAATGCGGGATCTATAGCGAGCGCAGCTATTGTCAGCGATTTTCTTAGTAAACTCCCGCGCTCCGTGCGCGTTGGCCAATATCAGATTATGAGATTTCGCAACAGACGGCACGATCGTTGAACTTTCGCAATACGTGTGCACACACGAGAGAGGCCAGGCCATTGTACGTAACATTAATTTCGCGTAATCTAGATTGATCGCTCGCGGTAACGGCCGGGTAAAAAGCAACCTATCGTTACCGATCTACCAGCCTGCATTTGTACATACTTATATTCAAGTTCAACCGACCGCAGCGATGAATGAACGCTATTAGAAATAGCATATCTTGATTAGCGTAACACGCACCAGAGGTATTCCCGATTACTGAATCACATCGAGCGAGATCTGTCACGGAAGAAGGAGTCGCGTACATTTATCAGCGCGCATTCGCGTGTCTCTCGATTAATTATCAGGAATAAGGAAATTTATAAGTAGTTCCCTCTGAAACGTTCTCTGCCTAATAGGAGAACAATGCAATCTCGCTGAACAGCCTTTTCATTCTCCCAAGATCTCATCGGGCCGAGTTCAAGAATGGCTCGCCGCTATATAAGCTGAATCATTTAATTAACAGAGGTAAAGGAACGTGGCGACTGAAGTTAATAAATCGCAATTAAACTGTTTTCTAGGATCGCGTCTTTGGCGATAAGATCTTTCGGAATGAAGACTCGTTGCAAGCGGCTGCTACCGTTCTTTAACTGTATCCACTCGGCCGTTTGACTCGTTTGTGCGGCAGCTGTGTCACGATCATTACGGACTTTGCGTTTAACAGTCCGCTTCCACCGAGCTGAACTAATTAACGAAACCGTCAATGGAGAGAATAATCGGTAACCGTTTATTGCGTCGGCTCGACGTTACTTCGCGTAATAAGAATTGCCACGATGATGGCCTCCGTCGAGCGGATGGTACTATCCTACAGTTATAATCGTATATATGTCGCAAAGACAATTGCGTAGATTCTGAGATCGAAGGCTGCGAGTAAATTACCACGAAATTACCCCGTTGTCATTTTAATAGTCGGAACTGCCGTTGATAACGGACGTCGGGATTCGCAATTCTATCGTCTCTTCCCACGTCTGACGTTTTCATCCTAAGAACAGGATCCCTCGGCGGTACGATGCGCTGCCTGGTTCGTCAGGAACCTTTCCACCCTTTCCCTGAATTCCCTGCTGGATTCCGGCAGAGGTAACCTCGGTCCTGAACTTCTAACATTGTGCAGCGCGGTGAGGTTCTGCAGGTTCTCGGACAGTCTGCTGTCGTGATCCAAAATGTCCGGCCTCGGAGGCGGCGATTTCCTCTTTCCCGCTGCTCTGGCTTCCAACTTTCCGTTCCCAGTTGCTCCATTCGCGTAGCTACTTTCCGGCAACCGATTCATCATTCCTCGCAGCGCTATTCTCGCGCTTAGAGCGGACCAAAACGCTTCGAGAAGAGACGCGACCAACACGTTTACCGCGAGCAAGATCTTCGTGTGCGAGGACACGGTGTAATCGCCGTGCCAGAGTGTCATCACGCTGCTCTTGATCATTTCCAAGCATTCCTCGGTGACGTTAGCCGAATCTCGTGGTAAACTCCCGTTGGCTTTCCAATCGTGATCATCCTCTTCAGGAGCGCTGGTGGATACATTGGACACGTTGTCGAAGACAATGCCAGGTGTAGAGGAGTAGATAGGAGCGTTCGAAGCTTGGTCATAGATTCCACTGAGATTGAAAGTGTCCTCGTTCGGCGGTATCGCCTCGTTCGACAGAGTGTCGTTCTTAAAGTGTTCCCCGAGGTGAGTAGGATTCATCGGTTGCTCGAGAATTTTCTCGAACGACCACAAAGGACCTCTGCTCTCCGTGGCAGCCGCGATGTCGAACACCGTGGCAATGAAGCAGAGAATCGCTGCTATCAAGGAGAATAGGCTGCCGTAAAAGAAGATGGCGATATTTCTATCGATGTACCATCTTCTCCAAGCGAGCAGGCCGGTCACGAAAGGAACTAAACACGCGACCGATAGGATTGGACCTTGAAGAGATAAGGCCAGGCTACCCAGCAGAAGGGAAAGTGCACCCAGACCAAAATGCACGAAGGACAGACCTCCCACGGTCGATGCCGAGTAACGCCGCTCGGATGGATACAGAGAAGACAAGGCTGGCTTCGTTTTCACCTTTATCACGTACACGTTCTCCATCGTTGTTCGCTTCGCGAATTTTCTCGCGAATTTTCACGCGAATCGATCGATTCCACGGACCGCGGCGAACCAGAGCAGAGACGAGAGCGACTAAGGCAGGAAAAGGGAGTTTTCGATGACACGAGTGGAAATTTCACAGCTACGGCGATGATCCATCCTCGGTGCGGTTAAATTTTCCAGACGTACGTATGCAATGGAATATGAACCTGGATCCCTCGAGCGGAAATTGCCTCGCGCTTCCTGTCGTTTCAGAGGCAAAGGCACTTGACCGTGGACGATATATACCGTGTGTTACGAAGTCACGAAAGAGGTACGAACGACGGTGCAAGGATGAGCCTTGACGCGTGACAGCAGACGGATCGTAGGTAAACGCGTTCGTGGCGAAGATCCAGGACTGGTTCTCGGCTCGCGACTGTGACCATTCGACAATCGCGTAGCGAAACTGTTGAAACGTAAAACCAGACGAAATGAACGATAATTTCCGTACGACCAGAAACCAGCTGCCGGCCAATTATGCTAACCGCCTGGATTTAATTGAAATCTTCGTCCCACCGTCGCATGGATTTCTTCGCGGCTCTCGGCGAACAGCGCGGGCACGCTTGTGCAATTCGTTTGTAACAATGGAACGAGGACGAAAACTCGCGAAGAGGGAAGAACCACACAACCGCGACTGCATCCAATAAGCGTGAACGTGGAACGGTAAATAGGTTTAACAACCCGCCGCGTCGTCGTTAATTCCACTTCTTTTTCTCCTCTCTGCGAATATTATGCAACAGCGGTTGATTATGAAGCGATGCAATTATCTCGATTGTACGCGTATATCGGCGCTGGCTGGCGGGGCTGTTCTCAGACGCCGTTTTCTCCGATCTCTTGCCTCTTTGTGCCAGCCGTTCTGGATTTTCGATCTCTTGGGAAATCACTGATCCAGTTTCTGGCCACGAGAGCCGTCTGGTCTGTCACCGATCACGATCCACCGATAATATCCTTCTCCTCGTCGATCGTTCCTCGGACTCGCGCCAATCTTTCCATCCGCTTCTCTCCAACGGCCGCTGTCGGTTAATCGAGACAACGGTGCAATTAACGCGATTAAGATCGTCGAAGAAAACGACAACGAGCGATTATCTACGGACAGTTACTCCGAACCGCGCTGATCCTTTTCAACCGAACCCGCGTTTCCTCTGCGTACCTAATTCCAGCGCAACCTCTATCCTCCATCGATCCGAAACTCGAGTTTAATGGAACTTGCCGCGGACCAGTTGGTTATTTCGCGACTAATTCAGGAGAACGGATTGTCCGCGAAAGACACTCCGGTAGAGACTGAGCTGCAAACGAAGACTAGTTCGGGCTGAAATTACTATGAGATCCTGAACAGGCCTCCCACGCGGTCGGTTTGCAGTGAAAGGGACAACAGAGTACGATGGATAGATGAACCTTCGCGTTGTTTTAAGCCTTCTTCACACCACTTTCCGCGCTCGTGAAACCATGTCACGCTCGCAGGCAAGAAACGCTACTGCTATCGTATTTTCCGACGGAAGAAATATTCCATATCGAACAGAGATATTCGATTATCCAATGGATCGAGTGTCTACCAGACGCGCGAGATATTCGCGATAATTTTGTTACGATTTACGAGCAACTTCGCGAGCGAATATACGTATCCTGCATAATCCTCCTCGGTGATTACGCTAACCTTTATTCTTCGCGATCAGAAATACACGGGCTCGGCACACGACCTTTTCTCCGAGACGTTGGAATAACGTAAAGGTAATGCTGCTTATTTTCTAGCGAATAAAGGGTCGAAGCACGAAGAGTCATTCCATCTACTCGGTTTATGCGGTTTCACGCGGAGAGCATTTCTAACGATACAGATTAATCGACTGCGCTGTTTTAATAGAGAGATCGAAAGGAAGGTCAATCAAGATTATTACGATCCGCGAGCCCTTGGTTCCATCAACTACTCTCCATTACCGTAGATTATCTTTCAAGTATATTTCTCCAGCCTATTGCTCGGCCTCCAACTGCAGGATTAAACAATTCCACGGGAAATACCGAGGGAACGAGCAAACGCGAAAGTGGTAATGGGAAAAGATTGGATGACTCAGAATGGTGGTGGAAACGTGCGACAAAAGAGGGACCGAAAAATGGCACGTTTTGGCACGTGGCGCGTGAACAACTACTGCCGCGTGTACCCCTGTTTCTCAAATCGATTTCCGAACACACCCCTGCGAGCAATCGCCACCCGTTTGGTTCGAACATCGTTGACCTAACGGACGGAAATTATTACGATCGACAGAGAAATATGTTAACGCGAAGTTGACCGCAAGAAAAGAGAAAAGTGCACTTTCTCGATCTTCCGGAACAAAATTCTTCCGTCGTTGATCAATCGCTGGAGCAGAAAATCTGCTACACTTTCCTGCAGATGAATTGCAATCCTGCGGAGCATATCGGAGAACTGCCGCTTAATAGGGGCGAAAAGAAACCTGTTACGAGAAAATACCTCCATTTTCTTCGTAATAGATCATTCGCTTTCTTGCTGTACGTACACTGAAACGCAGCTGTGAATATGTTAATGATAAAGCCACGAACGAGGTGTCGTATCACGGACACTTTTCCTGCCCTCGATTCCTGATACGAACGCTGTTTTCGCTGCACCGCGTTCTCCCGGCCATTTTTCCGTCCAAGCCTTTCGAATCTTTGGAAGAACCGATTGCATTCGCTCGAGCATGAAGCCGGCAACTTTTTCCGGGAATCCATCCTCGCTAATAGCGAAAACGTCATCTGCGTATACGTGTCCTCTCGGCCCAACATTCGAGTCA